TGAGCTTCAGCATTTGCCAAAAGCTAGTGCAGGTAAGAATGGTAAATTTTATCTGCTGAGAGAGAAAGAAAGTGAGTAATAGAGTATTAAGAACATATAAAATCTGTGCCATGATAGGGCATTAAGTAGGATAAAGAGTTTTTATCATCTGAAAAGTTGCTGATGAAACGTCCTGCATCTGGTTTTCTATTATTAGTTAATTGCGTGTATGGCATGTCATGGTCGTTGTTCCCTATATGTAGCTAAGGTTTTGGCTGCTTGGATACATTCTGAAACCATCTTAGAGTTTTCCATTGGATGCTTGATAGTTTCTATAAGGAAGTGGCTAAGTGAGAAGTGTTAATTGTTTTTGCAAGCGATTAGTGCAAGCCGAAATTTTTACTTGTGATGCAGTAGAAGAGGCTATACATCTATGATAATAATATTTTTTAATACTACTTTTTGATTGCTTTATTTCTGATGATCTCAAAAAAAAAATTGCAGCTGATGCATGGGAATATCTGGGTAGTGCAAAATCCTCAAGGTTCTGCTCAAAGCATGGCACTTGTTATTCGGTTTCAAGTCCGACCATCCATCACCATAACAATGACTGAGTCCGGAGAATCTTCAGACCAGCCACGTTCCAACTCTCTTTTCAGGGGCTTGCAAGTTTTACTAGCTGATGATGATGATGTGAACCGTGCTGTAACTCGAAAGCTTCTTGAGAAGTTGGGATGCACTGTTTCTGCTGTGTCATCTGGATTTGAATGCCTTAGTGCTATTGGGCCAGCCTCATCTCCTTTTCAGATTGTTATTTTGGAGCTTCAGATGCCTGAGTTGGATGGATTTGAAGTTGCAATCAGAATTCGTAAGTACCGAAGTCGAAGTTGGCCATTGATTGTTGCCATGACTGCTAGTGGTGATGAAGATGTCTGGAAAAAATGTTCACAGATTGGAATGAATGGAGTTATTCGAAAACCAGTGCTGTTACAAGAAATTGCCATTGAGCTTCGAAAAGTCCTGGTGCAGGCAAACAAAGTTGTGTGATGAGACCTGCTTTAAGTTGCAGAACTCTGGCAGCCTTGAATCTTTTCAAATCAATTTGGGGTTTCCATAGACTAAGAAAACATCTTTTGGCCCCTTCAATTCCCCTCCGTGCTTCCTGCATAGAGATGTTACACACACAACCTTCACAGTCAAAATGGTATACAAAGTTAGCTCCTTTACCTTTTCCCCCCCTTAATGTGCTCAAGCTCTTGTGCCATTGCGTAGATAGTTTCAGATCTAATCATTAGTTTACTAGAATTCTCTTCAACATCATTCTAATAAAATAGATTACATGCACAGTGCAAAACTAGCTAGATAAAGTTATTGCAGGTTCCAATTCAGCTGGTACAGCATTTTGGGAACATACTTAGAGTGCTATGGTATAGATACAACTTGGCAATTGTAAGGCAGTTTATTCTGTGCCATTTGAAAAGAAATGGTTCATAGACAATTCAAAATCTCTAGGTGAAACATTTTGCAGAAGTTGTATTTGTAGAAAGTTGTTCATCAGCCTGCCTTGTGTCGTGCTAGTTCTGCCTTCTGTCATAATTGAAATTTCAGTTAGTGAACATGATGTCTACTTGCAATCTTGCATAGCCTAACCTAACAAGTCTTGTGTTGAGTGTCAGTGTTATGTTCAATTCCCTCTTTGATCTTAGTACAAAACGGCTACTCAACATGACATTTGTCAAAGTTGACATTCGCGGAAGATTTTTACCTTAAGAAGCGGTCAAAGCTTGAAATCCAAAGGGATATAACAAGTGCAGCAGAGACCATATTCTTCATTCTTTTCTCCCCCTTGGGTTAGGGTTAAGAAAAACATAAATGGTAAAAGCATGCAATGGAATGATCGACCATGTGAAAATATTCAGTTTATGTTGGTTGACGGCGTGTGGTCTTCCCGCCAGTGCTCTCTTACCAGGATGGCAATGGCAATACCCTTGCAACTCACGCATATGCGGACCATATTAAAACCCAGCAATTATTTCATTCAGGAAAAACGTATGAACAATGACTGGAAGTCGTCTTTCTATCCAATCCATGAGCCTGCAATCCTTTCAAACGAGGTTTTAGATTGTTTTCGGATTTGCTTAGCTGACATAAAATGAGCCCGCTGTTCGCACTCCCTTCATTCAGTTCTTGAACAGGATGTGAAGACTTGGAAGAAATATTTTTTATATAGTTCAGAAGAAAAAAGAATGGCGGACACATGATACTGCAGACAAAATTTAATTCACAAGATAAGAATTCATGTGCCTTTTTCCAAATCCTGATCGCGTTGAGAAAGTGGGAAAGAATATGATGGGAGAGTATGGGTCAATTTAGACTATCAGCTTTTGCTGCTGTTTCTTTGCTTTCAAGTTCATGCATGAACCCGAGTACGTATATGGACTTATTTTCTTCATTCTTTACATATATTTCTGTTTCAATAACATCACACCACGTGGACCGCTGTCTTATCATACGAACCCCAGCCCCAGATTGGGAAATATATATTAAGTATTATCGGTAACACGCCCAGGGATGAAGTTGGTCTATACCATACAAATTTTCTATTCGGGTTATCATTATTTTATTTGGAGGGATTTGACCTTTAGATCGTTTTGGAATATTGACCATTCCCCATTGCCAAAAATTCTTCCATTTCCTGGCGGTCGCTTTTGCTCCCATCAACTTCGATTGCAGGTTCTACGAATTGGTATTAAGCTGGTGGCTCACTCAACAATCATGATTAGGTAAAACAATGCCTTTGGTTGGTGCATTTCAACATTAGCCTGATAGCACCTATGGCATGTTAAAATTCTCCCTCTATTTCTTAACTTCTCAATTCTTCAAATTTCAGATTTTTTTTTCACTTTAAGTTAACAAATTAACACTATGATATAAAGAAAGAAAAGACCCGTGATCGAATTCAAATCTCCACCCAACATCATACTTTATACAATTACTCAAGTTATATGTATTTTTTCTTAAAAGTAAAATTTTGCATTTAATTCTTTATCTAAAAAGTTAAGTTCGATCATATTGGACAAAAGGAAAGAAAAATTGCCCCACTCTAGAGTTGTAGTCTTGCTCCATGATTTATCATAGAGCAAGAAGCTTATCAATGAGTGGTGTCTCTAAGAAGGTGGCAAATCATAATGAAGGTGATAGCATTGCTTCTTAAAATATCTAAGGGAATATGATTTCAGGACCAACAACCTGGTCAAAATAAAGAAACATATGCAATGGATCTCAGTACTAAATTATGGCACAACTTGTCCAAAACTTTTATATTTATTGCTCAGAGTAACAAGTTGTGAATGTGATTTTGTACTGGCTAATAAAAAAGTGTTCTGCCAGGGGCTCTGCACCTTCACCAAAAAAAGAAAAAAAAAATACAATCAATTTGTTCTTTTCATGGGACCTTGATTGTACGAAGCAGTGAACCTAGGAGAAATGGCCTGGCATACCTCAAACCCACTTGTTCATATATTGCTTTATCATAGGGAAGCTAATATGGGCCAAATGGCTTTATCTGCAAGCAAAGTATAAATTAAAATAAAGTCAAGCTTTGCATTGGGTTTCAGATGAAGGATTGGCAGGACTTCCTAATTTGGGGGTTTAACAACTTAAATTAATGATTATTGAATTCTTTATTGCTTTTTCACATGCATATTTCCATTTATATTCTGCCCTAATCTAAGCATAAGAAAGAACAAAGTACAAACCTACATTATGGATAATTGGAATTCGAGTTTAATATTATTAAGAAGAGATCAGAATAGAATAGCAGCTCTTGTCCCAATGGGATTAACATTCAAATATCTTCTTAATATATACAACAACCAAACAAAAAAAAAAGTTTGCTGAATTGAAAAAATTTGGACTTTGCTGTCTGCATGTGGGCTTAATTAATTAAGTTATTCTATTTCCCTAACATCACGGCTAGGATCTAGGGGCCATGTTTACAACCAAAATGAAGGGGCAAAAATTATTAGTTCGTTAACTATGATTCAGCCATGAAAAAGTTTAGTTTAAATATGAGAATGAGATGGTAATAATTTACCCACAGCATTTTTCCCAGTCCTCTTCCAAAAGTCTTATCATTTGATTACAATGGTGTAACTTTCAATGTGACAGACTCATCAGCACAAGTCAAAAAGGAATATATGTATAAAGTTTCTGTTTTTTAAAAGGTAAATTAAAACTTTCATTTTAAAAAAAATTATAAAAACTATCTTGCAAAACTGTAATGTAATATTACAGTATAAGAAGGCATATAAAAACTTTTTTTTATTTGACATGCGTAAATTAACAGATATAAATTAATTCGATTGTAATGAGATCAGATAACAACTCATCACAAAACATATAATTAAATAAAAAATTTCATAAGCAAAAAACTTTTCAAGAACATGACAAAATCAAAAGTGTATACTTTCTGTTTTTAATTCTTTTGTTTGATCTCTTTTTTTTTTTCCCTCAATTGTTTGTCCATTAATTTTGATTTTAGAACTTCTATATCTTGTTGGTCCCCATTCTTTTGAAATGAACAATTTTAGCATGCCTGAGTAATGAGAAATTGTCTTAGAATTTTTTTTCTTAAGAAACAGACAAAAAAAGGGCAGGTACCTTTCCTTTTTGTTAATTAATTCGTAATTTGCTTTTATCAATTAACAAATTAGGGAAAAAGGAAAAAAATTAGCATATTTTGAAAAATGACAATCCCAAAGAAAATACGTTTTTTCTTTTCTTTTCTTTTGTTCTTCTTTAACAAAAAAGAAAGGCCTCATCCTTACCATCAATTTTGTAAAGGTGTGAGAAGCACTATAAAGAAATGGCATTTTATTATTCTTTTGTTTATTGTCTATTAATCTTTCAATCCATTTGGAAATTTGTTTCAATTTCAACCTATCAAAATCAAAAGCAATTAATATCTTAATACAAAATAAACGAAGCCGTGGATATAATTGTGATAAAATTTATTATTAATAGATTTTTCATTTTTTTGTGTATATATAATATAAAGATTTATTTGGTCATAAACAGAGTGCGAGAAGCTTTCTCTTATCTTATAAAACCCATTTTGAAGAGTTTGGATACGAATTTGTAGATGAAAATTGTGATTTCCCAACCTATGAAATATCCCAAGTAATGTTAAGAAGAGAATGTACAAAATCGTAAAATATCTCATTGGAAAGGAATTTCCAAGGTTCCAATATGAAGGCATGATTAAAGCCTATTGGCCCACTGAAGCCCAATTATTGATCATAAAATCACATGACAGTGAGAGATTGGCCCTTTTCTTTTTTTGGCCAAGGACGACTACTGTAGAGATTCAGAGACAAAGGAAGAGCGTCATCTCTAAATTTGACTACTTTTTGAGTGTTCTTTTGTGCAGAAGATTTCTTAAGTGCAACAGACAGATAGGCACTAGGCAGGCACTGCTCCTTCTTGAATTGTTTGAGAAGAGGGCTGACGGGCCTAATTGGATTTGGAGGTGGGTTGTTTACCAAAGAGAAAGCTTTGCGGTTCATAGGCCGAATTGTAAGAAAATTAATGGGCCGGCCTTGATCTGTACTCATTCAATCCTTGGGCCAGCAACTTCTTTTGGCACCAAAGCATGACCTTGTAAATGTGAGCAAAGCTTTTGAGAAGAAAATTCCAGGTCATAATAATTTCTGGCCCAGATATGTCAATAATTTAGTTGTTTTCCATTTGCTCAATTGGGCTCCGTTTTTTCTTCCCAAAGGCCCACCAAACACTATAAAGAGGGAGGCCCAGAATACCACTCTTTTCTTGTTTTTTTATTATTGCTTTTTGGTAAAAGGGAGGGCCGAAACCCCAAACTGCAAAAGCAAGAACTAGGTGACACTCATCGAGCTGGTCAAACCTTCCGCACAAGCTAGATTGTAAAGTCTTTCTTTTAGACTTACAAAATTGTTTGGAAAGAAATTGTTAACGAGTGCCAGAAGGGTAAAGATTATCATATTTAATCTAAATGGGTCATAATCAAATTATAAACACATTATGTAAATACGTTTAAATGATAAATTAAATGAATAATAAATAAATTATGAATTATACAAAACATAATAACACAATTCATTTAATGGATTAAACAAATTTGATACATTTAAGATACAAAATTTTGATATTTTAATTATAATGATAAATTAAATGAATAATAAATAAATTATGAATTATACAAAACATAATAACACAATTCATTTAATGGATTAAACAAATTTGATACATTTAAGATACAAAATTTTGATATTTTAATTATAATAATATAATTAAAATACGAATATAATTATCTTAAATCTAAACTCATAAAATTTTAAATTATATTCATGTTATATATAAAATTATCAAATCTAACACTCATTAAATACAATCTTTTAAAAAATAATATTAGTACTAATAACTTACCTAACTTGATGATCAAAGGAAGTTTTCTAGGTCGGAAATGTCTGCAACCCGCTGAAATATGACTATCATTTAATCTTTTTTTTTTTTCTAAGAAAAAAGAGGTTGCTGCATTTGTTTGTTGAATACAATTATTTGGTACCACTTGGTGATT